TATATATATATATATATATATATATATATATATATATATATATGTATATAAACTACTACTTGTACTAATATTCCTACTTCACGGTTTTTCACGTATTGCGGATCTTCAGGGTACGGATCCCCCGTGATGAATGAGGGACTACTGTATATATAAATGCCTTTTTTTCATTTTAATTTAACCGCCGAATTCTTAAGGTGGAGCTTTTAAGGGGGCCGAGATGGGGCAGAGGCAGGGCAGCCGACCCGGGACCTGAAAGTCCCAGGTTCGATCCCCAGTCATTGCACATTTCGTGGTGTCTCTGAGCAGCACACCTCATGCCCAAATGCTCCCCAGGCGCCTTCTATAGCTGCCCATGGCACCACTGGTGGTGGATGGGTTAAATGCAGAGAGACAATTTCACCATTGTATGGGAACATACTGTACAATGATGACAACACATAACAAAACACATTATATATATATATATATATATATATATATATATATATATATATATATATATATATATATATATATATATATACTGTACATGGAAAATGAGCATAATTGTTGTCCCATTATGTAAAACAATCACAAGAGATGGATTCAAGTGACGTCTAAACACTCTGTTCGTATTTTCTTGTCTTTCCTTTCAGGCGTCAGTGAAACCAAAGTGTGGCCGGCTGGTGGGTTTCTCATCAGGTGGGGAGAATCCTCACGGTGTGAAGGCCGTCACCAGTGGGCAGCGATGTGCTGTGGCTCTGTGGTTCACCCTGGACCCACTCTACAGAGAACTGGTAAATGGTGTCTCTGTCCACCTCGTTTCATACTGTCATAAACTAGTGCTGGTAAACCCAATGGTGCAGGCAAGCAGTCGAGAACTCAGGAATAATATTAACTAAAGTGTTTATTTACAAAATAAAAAACATGGCAAGGCAGCAAAACTTACATGAAACGTCTTGGATCACACAGGGAGCAGACAGGTCATCACCAGGAGACAATGGTAATGCCAGGACAACAAGGAAGACAAACACACAAGCTTAAATACATAAAACACAAATTAGACAAAGTGAAGACATGAAGAATCACAGGTGCCAAAGACAGAGGCTGAGGACCAGGGGATGCAAGACATAAACACAACACAAGATGGGACCAGACACTAGGAAACACAAACCCAACACATTCAAGTGTTGCATCTTATCAACAGATTAAAATTTATTTCTGTACTATGTTTTGTTGTTCCTATTCACGACAATATACAGTATATATATTAGCCAGCTGTAAGAAATCCAGCTGTGTTGTGTCTGAAATCTCTTTCTTATTGCACTTTATTTTTTGTCTGAATCATTGTCTTATTGCAGCAAAACATTTGTGAGGGCCCTGAATTCACTCCCAATGAAAACATGTACATCACTGTTGTGTTTAAGTAAAATGGCATACTTATGTTCACAGTAGCACATACTGAAAGTTCTCTACTACTATAATAAATCACTTTTATTAAATGGTGATCATTGTGGTATAACTTAAAGTAATAAACTTCACTGAAGAGCTACATCTAAAAATTTGTGAACTGGCATAGCTCCAATGCCTATTATAAATCGTAATAACTGTGGTATTTTTTCTGTTTGTCTCATTTGATTCTCGACTCTCCCATTTCTTTTTTGTTCAGGAGAGACTGCAGGCAGATGAGGTGATCCAGGCTTTAGACACGCAATCCGTTTGGGGTCAAGGCCTCAACATCAACCCCAAAGATGAGCTGTAAATAAAATCACCTCCGCCCGCCCTTCTCTCCAATGAAACTCCTTTTTATGATTTTACTATTTATTAAAAGACCTTTGTATCAGAACATTTCTATTTTTGTACTGATTGAAGTGCTGCGTTAATAATAGTTAATGTTGTCAGTTTGTGGTTTTCTCAGAACTTGAGTGTGACCCTTGGATCTTTTTGTGTAAGTCATACCTGCGATCTTACTGAACTGTGAAGATGACGTTTCACTGTTTGTTTCTGCACTCAGCATCTTTTAAACGTGTTTAAATAAATAAAACAAAAACATCATGTGCCAATCTTTTAAAGAAATCTTATTTCTATTGGTCTTCAGTTTAACATACTTCATATCATTGTCAGGAGTACTGTCACGTACGTTTTCACTAACATTATGTCACAAGGTTGGATAATACATAGTTGTTTTCAAAGTAGACAGTACATGATATGTTTTTTTAATTCCAAAATATCATTCATCCATAGCTTTTTAAAACATGTTATTTGCTAAGAAGATACTCTTTTTATGTGTCAAAGTCTAAACCTAAAAAAAATATGTCTTCGGTTACTTTTGAATGTTTTTGTTGTAACATTGGATCATAATGTGGGACTATTCATTCACTGATTTGAAGACATGATAAGCTGGTTTGTTTGTTTTGCTTTAATTTATGTCTTTTAATATTCGACAGCTGCTGTCTGCATTTATTGTGGAAAAAAAATAACTTTTTTCATAAAAGATGCCAATCGTTCCTGTTTCAAGGAATATGTGTTTGTACATCTTTTGTTTTTTTTTATAGTTGAAATCATGATGATGATGATGATGCACTGTAAATCCAAATGTAAAAGATTGATTTTGTTTTTTGTTTTTTTTTACAGAGTTAAACTAACTAGAAATTATCCACTTTTTGTATTTAATTGTGAAATACTGTAACAAAAAGTAAATTTATGGGTACATGCCTATTAAAACAAACTATTGATAATGTGTTTTTGTTTATTTTATTTACATGTTTACATTAAGCATCACAACTAAAAATGATATTTAAATGAATAATTAATGTTGGTGTTTGTTCTAAAATGTGTTTGGACAGAAGGCAACCGGTCTTTTTATTAAATCAGTAATATTTTTTGCAGATTTGCAACATATTTCATTTATTACTACATTTCTTTCTGTAAACATTTAAAATGATACAGAGTATTAACATGTTTGTGGTTTTTAAACTTCAGTTTTATAATAAAGGCAGTAACTGTGCTGCTCTATTATTTAATAACTTCATCTAAAAGCTTAGTTTGTAACGCATGACCAAAAAGAAAAATCAAAACCACTACGAAATATATGAAAAAATTAAGTAAAGTTACTCAAAAACCATTGGTTTATATTAAATATGATCCAGCGTTCTTCCGGTGACCTTTTTCTGATAAAATCCAGTCAAAGGGGAGGAACCTTTGTGTGAAACACAAAGTTTTATTGCACATGTCGTAAAACTTCATAAGACTGTGATCAAAAATTTTTGACAGAAGGCAAATGAACACTTCAGCATTTACACTGAAGCTGCAGGTTGTGTATGAAGAAAGGTTTGTCTGCAGCCACACAAAATGTAAAACAGTTTTGTAGTGAGATAGAAAAAAATACGTTAGGATATTTACACTGGGAAGAGGTCACTGTGGCGTACTTCCTCGTTATTTATTTTTGATGAAATAAAATGAATCCTATGCACAAACAGGCCTGGGTCTGTGTTTCAGCAGAGAAATGAGAAGAAATTCCAGTTGATGGCGGGCATGAGACGTGTGGAACGAGAGGGTTTGTTGGGTCCATTTGGTTCAGAAGCGGTAGGCCAGCTGTTCTGTGAACCTGAAAGGTTTGGTTTCATTCACCGTGCACATCAGGTCCCTCATACGTCGAGCCCGCCGCTCCTCCAGCACCAACCTGCGAGAGTGCTCCCGAGCCGCCTGCTGCTCTGCTCGCTTCTCTGCCCGCTTCCTCTTCAGCCAGCTGAGCAAAGGAAGAGGATGGTGGCCATTAAAAGTGAGCTCAGCTCTAACATGATGATAAAAACCAGGTGTGTAACCAGGTCAGTGACAGAGGGCTTTGCCTCAGTAACTTAGACATTTTCTGGTATGTCTGATGGTTTGCAAATGAAAAATATACCGGTAACTAATTCTTGACTTTCCAGATGTGTTGACAGCTGCATGATAAATAAACCTAAACTATAAGAGGTTATATAGTCACTCAATGCTCCCTGCAACTAAAAAAGCACTCAAAAGAACTGAAATAATATATAACAATGATATTTTTGTGGCATGATGAACCCATTTTTCTGAGAACAAACCTGCAAACTTGGAAACAAACCAAAAAAACAACCCTAATTAGTTATTTGGTTTACTTGTCTTGCATCACTGAAGGATGCTTGTGTACATTACAGACTGCAGCAGGGTGGAAACAGAAGGTTTGTCCCAGAAGAATCACATGGCAGCTATGTCATGTAAAATGTTCAGGTGTGAACATGTAACTTTATTCATTGTATTGACAACTACAGTTTCAGCACATCTTGAATCAAAGGATGGAACTCACAGTTTAAAGGCGTGTTCACACTCCTCTCTGCTGTGCAACAGGTAACTACTGTCCTCCTCCAGTTTCCTGAGCTCCACCAGCTGCCTCTCCTTCTGCTGCTGATCACGTTTCCTCTGAAGCCACGACTGGAAGGCCTCATCCGGGTCACTGGAGTCTCTCTGTGAGGAATTTTAAAAAATATATAATTAGAATGTTTTATTCTTACATTGTTCACAGTTCTTTGTCATATTTCATGACGCAAGTGTTTTTTTTCCCCTATAATGTCTAGAAAAAATATGTGAATGGGTAAGTTTTCCTGGCCCTTATGGAAAGATTTATTAAGCACAATAAATTTGGGATAATAGTGATGATCAGGCATTCTTTAGCATTTATAATTATTATTACTTGTTACTTCCATAGATATGTCCAGAAGGTTCTTCCTGTTTCCGTTGAGACTCTGCACTTTGTTTTCACGTATGAACAAATGTGAAAAAACATGTTTTTTGCTGGACAATCTCATTTCAAAAATTCAAAATTCAAAGATACTTTTTAATTGCGCATGTGTCCAGTTCACGTCTTTTATGTTGCTAATTGTTTTACTTTTTGCTTTAATTTCATTTTGGGGGACTCAAAGGTAAATGACCTTACACCCCACAACTGCAGAGTTGGGAAATATTTTGCTTTAAAGCAGATACCTGACTGAGCCTCTGGTAAATGGGCGTGTGCACCGTCTGGATATGGATGATAACAAGTGGTATTTATTTATTTTAACTTATTTTAACTACGTTTGTATTTTGTGACTTTTGGGTGTTCATACTTTAGAGTTCATTCTCTCGATCTCCTGGGCGTGTTGGATCCTTTTCTCCTCATGAAGCTGCTCTCTTTTCTTCATCAGCCAGTTTTTGAACGCCTGCTCGTTCTCCTGCCGCTTCAGCTCCTCTTCCTCTCGCTTCCTCTGCTCTGTCTGACGAGCAGATGAGAAGGACAAACAAGTAAACAGGTAAGTAAACAAAGTTACTAAGTCCAGACTCACTTTCAGGAGAATATGTTTTAGATTTCTTTATATTTTTTGATTTACTGTAACCTCACAAACTAAACACACCACCCACCTCTTTGGCCAGCCTCTCCTTCCTCTCCTGGATCCTCTGCAGCAGCTCCTTCTGCTGGGAGGACAGGCTGTAGGTCTGGCACGGTGCTCCTGTAGCAGACTGCACCCGTCTCTTGCTGTTCCTCCTCTGGATGTCTCTCTGGCTGTGGCTGGCTGAACTGGGTCTGAACCTGGGCTGAGCTGGAGGTCTGGGGGCTCGAGGGTTGTCCGCACCCAGGTGGAAGGAAGAAGAGCCGACAAGAAGTTGAGGAGAGGAGGAGGAACTGTGGATCTTCCCAGCCTGCTGCTGGATGCGTGGTGAAGAGTGTGAACAGTCACTGAAACTGTTTGCTATAGGAGGGAGGACGCCCTTACTCTCCACCTCGTTCATGCTAACGAGGTCGAACTTCCCATCCTTTTCCACAAGCACTTTGGTGTCTTTAGATTCTGAATCGTCCTCGCTGTTCGATCGTTTGTATTTCCTGCTCTCATCTCGAGGGGAAAGTTTTAACTCGGACAGTTTCCCTGACACCTCAGTGTCTGCATCTGCAACCTTGGCTCTCTCTTTGGGGCCCTTCTCTCCTTCTACCTCGTCCCTTCTGTCAACCGTCTCAAACCGGAGTGGAGGCACCACCATGTCCACCAGCGTCTCCTTAAAATGAAGTCGCCTTCGTCTTGTCACGTCTGGAATTTCCTGTTCCTGTAGCTCCCTGTTAGCCTGCTGGATCTTCTCCAATATGTACTTCTTTTCCTCCTCTGTTTGGTCATCAGTCTCTGGAGGAGGTGGCACTACAGGAGGGGATTTACTCGAGCTGTCTCTGTCCGAGTCATACTCTAATGGATCCATTGGAGAGGGCCATCTCTCTTCTTCTTTTTCCAAACGGTCTGTTGTATGGCCTCTCTTTTGATTTTTTTGCCCTCCTTGTTTTTTCTCATCTTTCTCCAACTCTTTGTCAATTTCTGCCTCTATGTCTTCATAGTCAGAACCCTGTGAGGGCAGATATACATTGCTTAGGTTTCAATGTCGATGAATCGCCATCAGTCACTTAGCTGGTTATAGGGATCTGTGATAACAGATATGCTTGTTGGCTCATCAATATTGCACCCAGCGGTAGCACAGTGAAGGTATGCCACCACATGTCTAGCATTGGTTTCACATGCGAGCACTGAGATGTGCCAGGTTGTGTAACTCAACACGATTAACTGTTACACTTGCTCTGGAGGTTAGTGACACATTCAGTACACAGTCTGCAGTAAGTAGAACGAAGCTCCAAATTGTGCGTGTCCATTTCTACTGAATACTGTATACTGTTCTACTGTATTCTTCACATCAATGTGAAGAAGACAAAGGAGATGATTGTGGACTTCAGAAGGAACAAAAACACCTACACCCCCCTGAACATAAGAGGATCTGCGGTGGAAGTGGTCTCCAGCTACAAGTACTTGGGTGTACACATGAATGACAACCTCAGCTGGAGCAACAACACCACCAGCCTGATCAAGAAAGCTCATCAGAGACTCTACTTCCTCAGACGGCTGAGGCGAGCAGGTCTGGAAAGCTCAGTCCTCACCTCCTTCTACAGGTGTGCAGTGGAGAGCATCCTGTGCTCCAGAATCAACGTGTGGCATGGAGGCTGCACAGCTGCAGAAAGGAAAGCTTTGCAGAGAGTGGTGAAGGCTGCACAGAAGACTGTCGGAATCAGCCTCCCCACCATCACAGACATCTACACCTCCAGATGCAGGAAGAGGGCCACCTGCATCATGAAGGACCTCACTCACCCAGCACACACACTTTTTGCCCCACTCCCCTCAGGAAGGAGGTTGAGGAGCATTAAGTGTAGAACCACTAGACTGAGGAACAGCTTCTACCCTGAGGCTGTTAGACTCATGAATCTCTAACTAGAATAATCACTGTGAAAAACCACATCATGTTGCTGCTGATCGGTTTCATGTTGCTGCTGATCTGTTTCATGTTGCTGCTGATCTGTTTCAATGTTAATGTGTTCATGCGTGCACATCCACTCCACTCACACAGACTCATGTTCATGTTTGTGCTGATGTTCAATGTTTTATGTTATGAGTGCTTAGTGTATATTTAGTTGATGTTTTTCTTAGTTCATATCTTAGATGTTATTACTGTTTTTCTTAGACATTTTATTGTTGGATGTAACTGGGACCTTGTGTACATAATTTCGCTCCACCACATGTACCACATGAGGTGCGAATGACAATAAAGAATCTCTGACTCTGATAATAAAGTCAGACTTACCGGGTCCTCGCTCCGGTCCTCCTCACTGATCAGCCAGTCCAGATCCTTCTCAAAGTCATCCTCATACTCCTCCTGGGATTTTGTGTAAGCAGCCTCAGTCATAATCTGAAAAGAAATGTAAATGAAAACAGAAAGATTGTTTTCATCATTTGCTTAACATGAAAGTAACAATAGTTTGACATGCCTAGGATTATGTGATCTCTATAAAGCTTAATTTTATATATGTATTTGAATTCATTTTTGGACATTTTTTCATGACCTTTGAACTTTGAAGCCAAATCTCAAAATATAACATCTTGTTTAAATCATGTAGCTTCAAGAATAATACTGTATTAAAATTTAACATCACAACTTTTAACTTTTGTTTTTGAAAAAAAGTTGCATCAAAAAGCAAATCAATGCAAACCAATACATTTTTTTTGTTTGTTGTTCATTTGTGTTTGTTTTGTTGGAATAAGACTAACAATTGGCAGCACTGTTAGTAATGGCTATAGCTTTCCACATGAGGAACAGCGCTGATTAAAAAACAAACAAAACAAAAAAAAAAAACAATGACCAAGGCAGATGAAGCTGCCTGAAGTGCAGGCTACAATTTTCTTTGTATTAAAAGGAATCCAGGCATTTTGTTGAAACTTTAGGGTTTGCCAAGTCCTCCTTGACTCTTCACCAACCTTATGAAAAGAGACTGTGATTTGTCGCCATCTGCTGGCTATTATGTTCAGTATTTGCCTCTTATTTTATTAAACTGAAATATTGAGAATCAAAAACAGCAAATAAGCAGAATGTACACGTTTGGTCACTTGAGGTGCCTTAAGTGTTAAAATGAGAAATTCTGACCTGCTGCAAGGACTCTGGTTATGGGTACACGATTATTATATAATTATTTTTATTGTATTTATTAAATTCTTGCAGCATGCGCGTGTAACTCAGTACGTCTCTCACGTCCTTCGAGGCAAACCATATAAAATTCGACATCGTTTTCCATTTTAAAGCCCGAGGTGAAATGGAAACTCAGCGACCTGTACAAAAAAATGTCAGCATTTTTTTTTAATTTTTAACTATCGTTAGGTTCAGAAAATTGCTGTTTCTATCGTTGCTTCTAAACTCACCGAGAAGTTTTCCCGCAGTAAACGATTTCCGAACAGCGATACGGAATTTAAAACAAATAAACCTTGTCGGTATGTTTGGTAAATATAACTAGCCAGCCCACATACTGTTTGGCTGTCTGGGGAGCAGCACCTGTGGACATAATCTGCTTCCAGTGTCTACAGCCCTAAAAGGTTTATTAGGCCTGTCGTCATAGTAACCGACAACACGTTTTACCCTAGTGCGCATGCGCACTAGGGTAAAGTTGAAATAATGCTAAATACCAATAAAACCCCTAAGCACATTATGAAACAAAAGAAAACAATTTAGTCAAACTTTTGTTTGGTTTTTTTGCGATGTTGTAGGACCTTTAAAAAAAAGATAAGGTGCTCTAAAATTCGAACCGAAATCTGTTTAACAAAAATATATATATATTTAAAAAAAAACACGTAAGTAGAGAAAATGTAGCCTAAAACCGTTCAAATTTCGTGGCAAATGCCTACTCACAAAAATGACAAAAAATAAAACCTTGAACTTGAACAAACACTTATAATTTTTAAAAGCTGTTAATGGGACGCCAGAAAAATCCTAAACAGCAAGCTGATTTTAAATCAAATTTTGATTATTCACTGAAAAAAAAGTTTTATATATAAACTTGATATTGAAAGACTGTCGGATAAACGATTTTATTTTAGAAACATGGGAAATAATAGAAACTACATTAAATTAATAGCCAATTCTTTTTCTAATCCATTTGAAGAGGGGAAAGCCTGGTACTTCCTGCTGGTACTTTCCTTGAATCAGTGAGCGTTTGACAAAAAAACCCGATGCAAAATAAAAGTCATTGAATGCAACATTAGTGTTTTTCTATGGTGCATTCTGGATCTTGATGTTTAATATAAGGTTTCAGTATTAAGTTCTTCGTCACGCGAACAGCTAGGTACTACGTTACCCATAATGCTGCGGTCGGAAACTGCCGCCCCTTTCAGTTGACAGTTTTAAAACACGACTGATAGCACGTAGACAAAACTTCTGATAATGTGAGTGGTTCGTACTTATTATCTAGTTTCTGCTAGAACGTATAGCTCCTAAAAAATGACGTCTATCGTCTTCTTTTCGGTAAAGAAAACCGCTCAGACCACAAGACGATGTTTGAGTTCACATTTTAAGGGTCTTGCTAATTCAGGAGACTCGGGCTGGTTTTTATGCGCCACTCACAGCCCGTCAGTGTCTCTATTTCCGGGAGCAAGATGGTTTTCCAGGGGTACAGGCGCACGGTTCATGTTCCGTGGGACCGCAGGCGGGTCGGCAGCAGGAAGAACCAGAAAGGGAGTGCTGGCGCTCAGCGGAGCCGCCGCGGTAACTGCAGCTGCGGCGGTAGTCGGGTTTTTGGCCAACGCTGATCACTTCCAGCGGGCAGAGATGGCTACCAGGGTCCCCCGAGCTGCTGAGAAGACGAAAGAAGAAGAAGAGGGGGACATCGTGGAGAGATGCCGAGGGTTCATGTCCGCTCCGGTGACCGACATCGGTGTGCTGCAGAAAAGGAAGGAGGAGATGAGCACCAAGATGGAGATGCTGATCATGGAGACTCAGGCCGAGTTTTGTAAAGCCCTGCAGGAGGTGGACGGTGGGACATTCAACGTAGACCGGTGGGACAGGAAGGAAGGTGAGACTTATATTATTGAGTCATTAAAAACGGCAACAACTTGGCTTTCCCACAAAAGTTATTAATGTGTTTTTGTCTGTGTGCTTCAGGTGGTGGAGGAATCAGCTGTGTGATGCAGGATGGGAAAGTGTTTGAGAAGGCCGGGGTCAATGTGTCGGTGGTGTTTGGGAACCTGACTGAGGAGGCTGCTAAGCAAATGAGGAGCAGAGGGAAAGTCCTCAAAGGGAAAGATGGTGAGTTTTACTTTACAATTGTTAGCTTTTCGTTCATTTTAATTCTTGATGATACTTTTCATCAATAAATCTTCTGATGCAAATGCATGCAGATGTTCTCGCAGCTGTGTTTGATATTTTGTGGTGTGCTTTGGGTTTCTTTCAGGTAAGCTGCCGTTTTGTGCCATGGGTGTGAGCTCCGTCATCCACCCAAAGAACCCCCATATACCCACAGTGCACTTCAACTACCGATACTTCGAGATCGAAGAGGAAGATGGTGAGCGTCCGTCCTTTATGACAGCAGCTGTGTCTTGGTGTCAGCGACACCATTGAGAATGTGAATGAATGATGAACTTTGTTTACTTCTTCTTGGTCTTTGTTTGTTGTTGTGTGTGTGTGTGTGTGTGTGTGTGTGTGTGTGTGTGTCTTCAGGCACTAAGCAGTGGTGGTTTGGTGGAGGAACAGATCTGACCCCTGTGTATGTTAATAAAGAAGATGGTCTTCATTTCCACAAAACCCTGAAAGATGCGTGTGACAAGCATCACCCTCAGTATTACCCTGACTTCAAAAAATGGTACAGTTACACAAACCTGTGTGTGCCACACTGCACTGATGTGTGTTTGTGCATAAGAGCCCACATTCATCTACAGGACTGATTCTAGAGTGTTTTATGCGTGTATATTACAACGGGTGTATCCTATCTGTTGTACTGTGATAAGAGGAAGTCGCTCCCAAAAATCTTGCAGATGCAGAAAAACCGTTGAGCAATGGTGGAAGGCAGTGAATGGCCGGTGTGGACAGGATGGGTGTGGCTTATCTGATGATGCTTTTTAAATAGTAAAACTTTTCCAACAATTTCTAAAAGTGAAACATAAGAATAATATAACATATTAACAAAACAGCTATACCTTAGTGTTTTTCAGGTAAACTTTTAACTTCACCTGGAATGTGTATAATCTTGCTGTTCTATTCTGTTTCCCCAGGTGTGACCGATACTTCTACATCCGCCACAGGGGAGAAACCCGTGGCATAGGTGGGATCTTCTTTGACGACCTGGACTCACCGAATCAAGAAGAAGCGTTCAACTTTGTCAAGAGCTGTGCACGCACCGTGGTGCCCTGTTATCTTCCCATCGTCTACAAACATCTCAACGACTCCTTTACTGCAGAGGAGAAGAACTGGCAGCAGATACGGCGAGGGAGGTGAGCCCAAGATGATCATGATTTATTTCTTACATCACTAGCTGAAGTCTCAGAACTTGTCTGTCTTTTATTGACACAGTTACTGCTCTGTTTTGCCTCTTTAGCTCAGTAAAGCATCACAAATTGTAGGATGGAGCTGGCTCGTCCAAAGCCGTTTTTTTTTTAACCTCCAGAATATATCTGAAGTTGTCTGTGTGAAAATGGTTGTATTTGTGTAATTTATTCTTACTGCCTTTCCGTTGTATAATTTGTTTTGAGTACAGTAGTCCCTCGTTTATCGCGTGGGTAAATCGACCCCCCCCCCCCCGGCAGTAAGTGAAAATCTGCGAAGTAGAATTGACCAGTTCTGAGTTGAAACAACGTAACAAAACATTTCAGTCAACTAATAAATTTAAATCAACTAAACTAAAGCAAAAGTTTATTTAACAGGAGTTTATTAATCAAAATAACTTCATGTTTATTCACTCAACTTAAATTTTTAAGCTGAGTGAGTAGTAATGCCTTTGTACTCACCAGCTCTGCAGAAACAGTGGCTCGGTTCCAGTTGGGTCGGGCTCGTTTTCCTGTTCTGCAGACCTACCCTGCAGCAACGAAGCCCACAATGATCTATCCATCCATTATCTTTTACCTGCTTCTTCCATTTTGGGTCATGGGGGTCACCGGTGCCCGTGTCCAGCAATCACTGCGAGGGGCGGTGTACACCCTGGACAGGTCTCCAGTCCATCACAGGGACGCATAGAGACAAACGAGACAATCAATCATTTACTCTCTCACTCACACCTAGGGCCAATTTAGAGTCGCCAATCAGTCTAACATGCATGTTTTTGGTCTGTGGGAGGAAACCGGAGTACCCGGAGAAAACCCACGCATGCACGGAGAGAACATGCAAACTCCACCCAGAAAGACTGGGATTTGAACCAGGGACCTGCTCGCTGAAAGGCAGCAGCTCTACCAGTTGCGCCACCGTGCTGCCCCCAACAGTGATATAAACATTTAAATCTAATTTTAACTGCACAGTACTGCAAAATTTTACTCACCAGCTCTGCAGGAACAGTGGCTCGGTTCCGGTCTAGCAGACCTACCTTGCCGGTTTTGCTTCTGTTCTGGACCAGTTCTGTGCAGCCCTTGAATACCAAAATGCATTTTGGAGGGAACTGGACTTTCGGATGGCCAGCATGGGACCAGACGGTGGTCCGATTTGAGTCCAAATCTGGATGAAAAAAGTTGGTGGGCTCCAGAGACCACGCCGAACCTACGACGGTGCCTCCCCGCTTGGATGTCCTCATGGGCTGGCTCGCAGCTCTGATTCACTGATGAGTCTGGAGGTCCGGTTCTGCTCCAGTTCCCGGTGGGTTCGTGCAGCTCTCTGCATCCGCTGGTCGCCAAAGTCACTGTATGAATAAGGACTGAACTTTTTCCGATCAGATTAAAACTTTTCCTCTAGTATTTCAACAGAAGGCAACAGGGCTTCTGCGTGGGTCACTGTTGGCTTCTGGGAAATGTAGTTGTTATGAGCGGAGTTACAGTGTAGGCTTATTGAGAGAAAACTACAAAAATGGCAGTGCCTTCTTAAGTATTTAATTTTTTCGTTATCATTTTACTGTACAGTATCCCATACTGTCCCAATCATGTGCGTAATATTAAAGTTGACAATCAAGTGTCATGTACAATTAATTTTTTGCGTGTACAGTCTTACTTTGAAGAACTGCGAAAGAGCGAGTTCATGAAAGTTGAACTGCCAAGTAGCGAAAGAGGGACTACTGTATTTGCTATTTACTCGATGAGTTTCGACTTGGACTTCATCAGCTGCCTGTTTGGTTCAAAGCCAGAGCAGCTCCTGGTGCAACACGCGTTCTCCATGAGGAACTTAATGCCTTGAATGGGAGGAAGTACAGTATTAAATTAGATCCTCACACAAAGGTTCAATGAATTAAATAAAGTGAACGGTGGGAATAGACTAAATATATAAAAATGAATGAATTCTGGCTTAGTCTAATCTGTGAGTTTTTGTAGTTTTGAAGATTTAGTGATAAAAAGCAGGGATAAATTCCTGCCTGCTAAGTCTGTGATGTTTGTCATAAAACAAGGTTTTTTTATTTATTTAAGTGTTCAACTTAATATGGTGTATGTTGTGCACAATTAAAACAAAACTTTTTTATATATATATTATGCAATTAAAACTGTTTTAAAGCCAAACTACTACAATAAACAAGTGGTCAAAAATGTGAATAGAAAGAGTTGAGAAGTTTTTATCTTGAGGATGAAATGTAAATATTTAAACTTTTTTGTTGCATGCTATGATTGTCTTTAACTGTATTCTCTAAAATTACTCTGCTTATCTAAATCTGAGCTCAATGCTCTGTAAACCTTATGAAGGTTATTTTATGCATTTGTTGTAGGTATGTGGAGTTCAACCTGGTGTATGACAGGGGAGTAAAGTTCGGCCTGGCCACACCTGGCTCCAGAATTGAGAGCATCCTCATGTCCCTCCCCCTCACTGCCACGTAAGACACCTTCCTGCTCCTGGGTGCCTGTCATGGGCTGTGTGGTTGCTTAGTAACCAACTGACCTTTCCTCCTCAGGTGGGAGTACATGCACAAGCCTGCCAAAGGTTCCCGGGAGGCGGAGATGATGGAGGTACTCCGAAACCCAAAGGAGTGGGTGTGAGCAGGGTTCACAGGTTTTCTAATCTCCTTTGTTAAGATTTTTTTTTTTTTTTTTACAAGCTGTGACCTGTTTGACATAACCACCATTTATCAAAGTATCACGTGCTGAAGTTAGGAGGATAATTTACTTTCTTGGCCAGTTTTCTTTGTTTGTTTTGTCAGATCAGCCTTGTTAAAACTTTACAAAATGAGATTATATTCATGAAGGAGGTTTGTGTCATTTTCTCTGAAAGAATAAAGACCAGATACAATGTTTTTAAATGTGACCTGCTTCTGGGTCCTCTTGTTCTGATGATTTGCTCCCTTTAGTAATTGTTTTTCTAACTTTGTTTCAAGCTGCCAAAACACTTTCTTCTACTGTTTTTTTAATGAAGCACTGAAAGGGAAAGACAAACCCACTATGTGCATGACACTACTGATGTCTATTATCAATAAATCAAACTTTTTAAAACCACTTGTCTGCTCAAAGCTGTTTGGACAAGCCGAGTCTCAAACTAATTAATTGCCCTCTCTTGAGTCCTATTTACATTGTTGTTGGGCTCTCAGTTGTGGTTAATGAGTCACCTCGCTTTAAACGGTGGTAAACAATACATGGAGTTTGGATCTGGTTTCAGCAGATCACCGTTCAGGTGGCCATTCAGAGGCAGGACAATGTGTCTACCAAGACTACTGTTCAGGGTATTCTACCGTATATGGAATTTAGTGTTAATTTACCATTAACATTTGTATTTTTCTACATTTGGAGTAATGTTTTAGTACCAAATCAACTGTCAACAGTCTTTTAGTTTTACCAGAGGCAATCAGTACATCATCCAGTGTTTTGTTTGTGATAATCATGGATATCCAGTAGATTAGAAATTTTAAAAAGCTATTGCAAACATAAACCCTAACAAGAGGCGCTTGAAACCTGAGTAATTAGCAAACTAGTGTGACGTATATTTTATTATCAATAATTCAAACTTTTACACATTTCTATCAAGTTCCCTTATATTTAATTTGATATAGCATTTTCTTTAATAAGGCATTGTAAAAACGATGTAACAGGAAAGTAAGTGAATGAAAGTGAGTACCAGCACAGTTCAGTAGCAAAGTAAACGATGAGGTTCACAGGTCACATACAAATACAACATTAAATCAGTGCTTAAAGTGTTTGCAGAGTAGAATGGTAAGACATTTCAGAGGATCTGATGGGTGCATTTGGTTTAGAATGTTATGCATTTAGATAATCTTGCATATCGATAAGGAGCACCCAGAATCACTCCGACATTGTGAATGCTGAGAGTGATGCTTCCTGTTTAAAACCAAGCTTTCCTGTTTCATCAAAGAAATCATTTTAAACTTAAACAAAAGGTTTCCTAGTGTTTTCACAAGTTGCAGCAGTTCAGTTACATTAGTATCAATGTACTCATTGAATTCCTATGCAGGAAATAATCTTTTGGAGACTCACACATAAAATTTATACACATATATAGTATGTAGAGGTGTTATACACATGCTAAACATGAACTTTATCCATAGTGACATTTACTACAAAATCATCCCTTGTGGGTTTTTTTAACCTATAGCTTCTATCTTGCCTGACATTTCCAGCTCTGTCTTTCAGGTGGTTGTGGGCCAGTGAGGTCTGACAGTCAACAAACGGGGCAGACTTCTAACTTCACGTGCAGGTCGAGCTGCATGAATTACTGAAATAATGAGCACAAATGACACTTTAAAGCAGCACCTCTTAAAGTTTACTGGTCAGATCTCTAGAAAAGGTTGGGCCGATGCATTTGTTTGGGAAGGTAAACATTTGAACCTGCATGAAGACATTGTTATACCAGCAACAATAATTTGAAGTGTTGATGGGAACGTAGAAAGTAAATGAGGAAATTCACATCATGTTCTCCAACTTTACATAGCTTTGCTTATTAGGCAATACCTTCTTCTGTGTGGTTTGGTCCTAAACTTTCTGTAATACAATATGCACGGGTGGAACAAACAAAAGGTGTACTCTGCTGACACAAAACAGCAGGTATCACTGAAAACTTTGTACTTTAACCTTAAGATAACTTCTGTAAGAACTTAACTAAAATTAAATCAGTTGACTACAAAATGTAAGCTTAAACCTGTGCTTTAACTTGAGTGAAGTAAAGTTAGTCTGAACAAAAGGCCAAATTCTGAGTATTCTTTTCCCAACCCTTGCACACGAATTAATGCAAAATTTAAAAGTCTGGAAATAAACAGCAATAGATAAAAGCTTAAAATAATTTGAAAAAGTGGCTAAAGTTAAAAGATGCTCCAAAATATACACTATATCTGATGTTAGCCAAAAATGTCTAAAAAATTGTCACTAATCTACAAAGAAGCATCAATCCAAGCCCTATACACCTGGAATAGTTGTCCCTTGAACATAAAGAAAAACCTTTGTCCTTCACACCTGCAGCATGTATCATGTGTACTGACTAAAAGAAAAGTACCCAACTGAAAGGAATGAAGCTGAGGTGTTGGTTTATGTATTCCGGTATCACCTTATCCTTCTTGCCTTTGCTTCATTTTAGTGATAAAAGGTTAGTGCAAATCTCAGCAGAGCTGGAAACAGCAAAGATCGCTTTAGTCCACTGAAATGGCAATTACTGTGTTTCTGCTGTGCATGTTGGACGAGGAAGGCTGGTGATTCCACAGTAGTAGCACTGATAATCAATAAGACAGTCTTAGTGTAAGTTAGAACCTTAGTTTGGATGGTAGTGAAAAAATGTATTTACTTCCTTTGACCGCTGATTATTCTGCTAGAGCTGGTGTTCATTATATCCTCATACTGGGGAGGAGGCTCCGTCTCTATTTGGACATCTGTATGTCCCACAGCCTCTTCGTAAGATGGCGGCGGATCTCCTGCGCTTCCCCTCCCTGATGTGACCTCAGAACCCGGAAAGACCGGGCTGCTGTGGATGCTGAGTTCAGACTGGTCACCGTGATGGTAATCCCTCCCCCACTGGTCCATAGAGACCACTGACAGGACGTGGTTGTGATGAGAGTGTCCCAGGCCGGGGCTGTTCTGCGAGCGTTTTCGGGAGTGGCAGCGCCACGCGGTGATGGCGATGACAGCAACGATGAGCCCAACCAGCACCAATGGCACAATCACGTAGAGAGACTGAGCCCCGCCCACCACCGAATTCAGTCCTCCAGGTGGACTACTTTCCCGAACGTATTCCTCCCAAAAGCGCTTCTGCAGAGTCAAAACAAAGACATGTATGTCAAAGTTCATGCTCAATAACCCAGGTAGAAAATCCAACAAAGTTCAGTCAGGTCCTCTGGAAGGTTTCTTTTTTTTGTTGAAACATTTCGTCCTTCATCCAAAGGACTTCATCAGGCCAAGGAGCCACAACAGACTCAGTCCCACAAGCAGCACACTCATAGTGGGCCAACCAGTTTGCTGCCGATAAGATGGTTTCTGAGTTTGTTGTGGCTCCTCGAACTGATGAAGTTCTTTGAATGAAGGACAAAATGTTTCAACAAAAAAAAAAGAAACCATCCAGAACCATCCTAACCTGCCTGAACTTTCTTTGAAAGACGGATATGGAGTCAAAACTACAAAAAGTTTAACTTTATTTCAAAAACTGAGTAAAAGTTCATAAAACTGAGTCTCACACACCCTCCCTACTTCATGAATTGTTTTTATGTGAATTCCTCCAACACAAAGGAAGTGGACAACAGCTCCTGAACAAAAAGAGATCACATGACTGAACGTCCCTCTGTACTGTGGCCTCACAATGGTTTCACAAACATGTCTCCCCTGGTGTTCACCAGGCGGTTCTTCCTGTTGATAAAAATCCCTTCATGACAAAAACACTCACATTCCACAAGCATTTACTTTTGTTAAAGGATTTGATTGATGGACACAAGAAAATATTATTCTAAAAAGACATTTGACCCTTTTCATATTGGGCAGCTGGATTCGGACACACAACTGTATTAATAATCATTAATGGATTTTTGCAGCAGATCGGTGCACTGGTTTTAGAAACAGACATTTTCTGTACTTTTAAATAAATAAATTAAAGCAAAGTAGCTGGATCTAGGTTTCTGTACAAATCCTGAAGGTGACTGTGCGATTTGTCCTCTGCTGTACCGTATGATCTGACTTAAGAAGCACTGCCCATTACAAACTGGCCAAACAATGCCTGAAACATAAACTGTAAAAAAGGGATAAACGTTTAATCCATCATTTTGTGCTTTTAGAAGCCAGAAATAAAACTGATAGGGATGGGAGTAAAAACTAAGACATAATACATGAGCATGTAGTTGAAGCCCTCTTTAAAAATAGCATGTCCCTAGCAGTATGTCTTAATACAATTTCAATTTGTAGGCTATCGAAAAGTCTCCTTATTGTCCTGAATGGAGACTACATCCACTGAAATCAGCTGTTTTCATATCACTCTGTAATATGTTTATTACAGCTGTTTAGTTGGGTCATTAAGGAACTTTGGAGACTTGAGGTTTTGCTTACTTGTTATTTTAGAGGTCGCTGCTTAATCTGAACAAAATTACTCCATGCTACATAATCACTACTGCTGACTTGCTCAAACAATTTCCAGTTTTGTTGAATAAAAACTAACTATATTTGGTCATGAACAAATTAGTACACTTTCTGTTAAAAGACATAGAAAAATAAAACAAAGCCGTCTCAAGAGATTTAATTCCTATCCTCTCACCGTCTTCTCATTATTCTCAAAAGCTTCGCGGGCCTCCTCATAGGTGCAGACCTCCTCACGACACTCTCGCTGGATGTTGCCTAGTTTTATCTCCTCTAAAAGGAAGTTGGCCCTCCGCAGCCGCCTCAGTAACGAGTGGGCTGCGTTCGCTGGCAGGAACACTGTTAAAAGAACAACACAAGATGAGCACGGCGAGGGGGTTAGAAAACAGGAGGGTGAGAAACAGTGGATGAGGAAAAATAAAACAATTAAAACAAAGAGCTGAGACCAAAAAAGGCGTGAAAATCAAGAATACAAGTGAAACTGCATGCGAGACGAAGCAAACGTGAGGAAATAAGCAAAAAGACCAATATATTGGGACCAAAAAAAAAAAAAAAAAAACGCAAGAGGCTAGAAAAAGGAAATGTAAGAGAAGTAAAGATCAAAACAAAAGCTGTAGAGGTTAAAGCTGCTTAGTGCCTACATTTCTGCACAAAAACAAAAGCTTATGTGATTTAGGCATTCATCCATGTGCTATATAAGAGAAACTAAACAAATAAACTGGGCTGAACAAAAACCCTCCAACAAAAATGCCACACAAGATGCCACAATGTGCCCTGGGGGTGGATGTTTGATGTGCAAAAAAGATTAACAAGAAACAGCGTCAAACGTGACTCACAACTACATAGGATGTGTTCAACACACACACACACACACACACACACACAAATCCAGACAAAAACAGGAAAAGTATCTTTAAAACACAGAAGAGAATGTGGATTGTTGCCGTTTTCAACGCAACAATGAAAACCAAAAGGAGTCGCACAGCACTGAGTAATGTTGAGATTAAACACAACAGAAAAAGAACTGGATTCTGATTAAATCCTCACGTGATTTAAGTTTACAAAATGTCTCTGTTTAGGTGGTGAAAACTGCAAGTCAACAAACTTACCACTCCCCATGATTCCCACCAGGGTGTTAGGGGTGATTTATCTGCAGAAAGTAGTAAAACTCACAGTTTATAACTTTAAACCAACTGATGCACAGGGGGGTTAAAATACATTAAACCAACCCACAAATGAAAAAAAGGAGCATTTTTGTGGACTTTTAAATAATAAACACAGCAGAAACATCCTTATGGCAATATATAAAGCATTATCCACCATTAAAACCCAGCATTATGGCAACTCAGACTGGGGTTAAGAGTGTTTTTTGTATCAACAAGAAACATCCTTCAAGTGTCAATGGCGAACGCTGGCCCAGTGTTACATGAGTCGTGGTCGACGTGAAGCAGAAAAATTCCTAACAAAGCGCCACCGCCCGCTACAACCCCACAACAATTATTAAAACGACAACATGAATGTGTACAGTGAGCTGTGGATGCTAGAGCTCATCTTCACGCTGGTTTGGGTGTGTCTGTTTGGAAGTGGTTAGCTAGCTGTGTTGGACTGACAGGCAGATTTAATTAAAACCAGAGCACGCAGGGAGGGATGCGATTTATCCAAACCACCTAAATTCATCACCGACAGGTTCAAGAAGAGACCTGCGCTAAAATCTACCTGGTTTGGTTCCTGTCGGAAGTCGAAGCAGACATGAATCATTCGTGTTCCTTACTTACCCCTTTTTTCGTCCCCAAATTGTTCATAGACGAGCGCGAGCTCTGCTCTTCTCTTCGGTTACCTCACAGCGCGCATGCGCAGAGCATTGTTTGCAATAGCGGGCCTCTCTGATCTTCCCATTTCCGCTCATTCAAGACACAGACCGACTGAGGAAACGACGATTTAAAAAGTTGGAAAAGTACTTCGACATCAAGCACAGAAGCCATTATGGTCTGGATTCAGACAAGAACTCAAGATGATACAACTTTCATTGGACAGTGTTTAAAAAACCACAAGCATAACAATGATCTTATTACCTCGCTCAGCTCTAACAAATTATTTTAGTAGCTACGTATAATTTTTGTTAAATATATATTTTTAGTTTGCTTGTTTTTTTCCCCCATATTTTTTGCTACTTCTATATTCCAAATCATGTTACTTAAATTTAAATTTGATCTGAATAACGTGTTAACTTGTGCAAATGTTGACCTTAGGAGGTATGATTCTTTACATGTTTATGTCATTGTATAATTTGAGATTGTCATTTGTTCTTTTGTTCTAAAGTTTTAAAAAAACATCATGTACAGAAAGGGAGAATAAATATGGAAACAGTTTACATCAAACACTGCGATGAAGACTGATCATTTACTTCAGAGGCATGAACTTGCATAATTTATACAGTTCTTGTAATTGTTTGGGTGCTGAAAGGAAAGATGTGAATAAATGCAAAATTAGAATAATTTGCACCATATTTATTTAAGTGATCATGTACATTTTTTTATTTCTTGTTCCTAAGACTCCAGTTTTTTTCTTAAATTTATAATAATAATCTATAACAGAAACACCCTCATGAGACCCTGTATTCTGATTTGAGGAGCTTTCGGCACCATAGTACTCCATTGTGTTCATCTTGGACCTGTTGTTCTTACACAAGGAACTACCGGTAATTACATTTTATTTACTTTCATTTTTCTCAATGAAAAAAGTTGAAAGTTACAGATTTTTCAAGAACATGTTTTTGTTCGTTTAGCTTTAAAATAGATTGATTTCAGTGTAAAAACTAAAAGGATTGGGTGATAAATCTACTTTTTGTTTTTGCTGTCACTGATAAATAAATATTAGAATACATTGTAAAGCCTTTCACATGCTCCTTTTTGCTCATTTTATTATTATTTTTTTAATTATGTAAAATTTATTTATATTAAAGACTTTTGACCCCATCTATAATGGGTGTAAATAGACAATCTTTGCTAATAACTTTATTATTCGAGGGCATAATGAAGACACAATCAGCTACAAAATCTATTTTTTTATTATTTTATTTATATTTATATTTATAACTTCTTTTCATTCTTGTAAATGTTATGAGGAAACCATCACAATTCACATTAGGGTCTCAACTCAAACTCTGGGGACCACTGATCTAATGCATTTACACATATGATAAAGTCATTGTTACTGTTTCCTATACTTTATTTTTCCCACAAAAACACAGCAGCATTTACAGGTTTCCTATAGATCTTTTGGGGTTTTGGTAGCAAATTTTTAAACACTCAACTGAAACTTGGTTGTATGCCCCTTTTGTTTGTTTGAATGTGTGTTATGCAAGAAAGTATGTTTCAGCAATTCATAACACATATTTATTCTTGAAATTATCAGTCTGTTCAAAAAAACAATTTATGAATGCAAGGGCAGTTCTGTAGAATCCATGCATTCACATAAATCATATGAAATCCTTACAATATAAAACTTTTTCCAACAATGCCCAGCTAAACCCAGCAAGTCATAAATATAACATATAACATTTATTCTATTCAATTCAGTTTATTTATATAGTGCCAAGTCACAACAGAAGTCATCTCAGGGCACTGAACAAAAACATTCATTCATATAAAAAGTAAGTTAGTAACATTATTTATCTGAGGAGCAGACTGCTTTGAGTTTAACTTCATCACAGACTCATTTTAAGCAAGCATGAAGGCGACAGTGGAAATGAAAAACTCCATCATGAGGGAAAAAACCTTTAGCAGAACCAGGCTCAGGACCAGCAGCCATCTGCGTCGACTGGCTGGGTTTTAGAAGAATAGGAAGGAGGAACAGATACACAATGGCAGGTCGAGAATCGTTTATAAGATTATTGTTAACCTGTCTCTTTATCACACGTCTTTTTCTCCTGTACTTTATTTACATTATAGCAATAATTAGTAAAAAACAGTGTTCTAGTCTATATTTGCACAATTTGAGAACTTTTATTTAAGTGGATCAGTGGTTAGTACTGTTGCCTCACAGCAAGAAGGTCATGGGTTAAAATCCCAGGTTGGACCTGGGGTCTTTATGAGAGGAGTATGTTCTTCTCGTGCTTGCATGGGTTTTCTCCGGGTACTCCGGTTTCCTCCCACAGACCAAAAACATGCATGTTAGGCTGCCTTCAGGCCCAGGCCTCCTTTGCAAAAGAGATCTGTGATCTCAGTGGGATTTGCCTGGTTAAATAAAGGCTAATAAATAAGTACAGTATATTTAGATGTCACAGGAAAAATAATTAAAAATTTGCCATCAGTGACATCTACTGGTGGTGTTAAGTATTACATCTAGAGTTGTGCATGCAGTGCGCATGACCAATTAAAACATATATGCATTAGTTTATGGACATGAGCCAGAAAACAAGTTCGTCCGGAACAAAAAAAGAGTGAAAATGGACAATATGGACAATAACAACCTCCTACATGTTTGGTCAGAAGGCGCACACGGTTTATATATTCTGTTTTTGTTTATATGTTTAATTTTGAAAATGCAATTTCACTTGTGTTTATATCGTGTATTTAACAGATTTTCACGATGTTTGCTGGCAAAATAAGTTTTCCTGTGTGGCTATTAATAATTAAAAGCTGGGTAAACATCAGTTGGAGTGTGGCCTTATTCTGAGATGAAAAACCTTTGGGAGCAGCAATATACTAAAAGACTTTCAACTATCTATCTATTCTATCTATCTCTACTACAGACAGACAGACAGACAGACAGACAGACAGACAGACAGACAGACAGACAGACAGACAGACAGACAGACAGACAGACAGACAGACAGACAGACAGACAGACAGACAGACAGACAGACAGACAGACAGACAGATAGATAGATAGATAGATAGATAGATAGATAGATAGATAGATAGATAGATAGAT